GGGNGGGGGACAAGAGCTCCGCCCACCCACGAACGCAGCGGCCGCCACACGTTACACACACAGTATATAGTAGGGCGCGAGCGGGAAGAAGGATATGATAACGCATGCATGCGGAACAGCATAAGCGACGAAACCGACTAAGAAGAAGTCCACCTGCGCGTGTGAGCGAGTGTGAATGAGAGAGTGTGAGTGTGAGTGTTTGTCTAGATAGCAACACCTCACAGCTTCTCCTCTCCTCTCCTCTCCTCTCCCCTCCCCTCTTGCACAGACGCTCACACAGACCCATGTATGTGCACAGGCTCCTTGGAGGTTAAAAAAAAAGGGCAAGAAAACTCTTCCGCTACGTTCCCTCCTCTTACGTGTCTACGAGGGACAATAAATAAATGATTGCAAACCCAAGCAACGACTGTGGAAGAGAGAAATATATATATATATATATATTCACTCCATTGCCCCTACCACTAACGCGCTCTGCCTGCCTCCTGTCCTCCGCTCAGCGGACAAAAAAAAAATAACAATACTACGCACACAGACAGAGGCAGATAAGACATGCACGCATGTGCGTGTGGATGTGGCGCCAATTCGACTCATTGCCTCTTCTACAAAAAACACCCTCCTTTCTCCTCCTTATTTTTCCTTCTTCTTTCCCGCCTTCACAGTCCCTCCATGCGTGTGTGTGGTTCTTTTTCCTTCTTTTTTTCTTTCTGTTTTTTTTTTGTCCGTCGCTTCCTTCATTCTGTTTTCCCACGCAATTACTTCTGCTCCTTCCTTGCCTCTCCCCTCTTGCACCTGGGCCCTCGTGTCTTCTCCGTCGCGGGAGAAACCACTCAACAAACGGCAACGTCCCACCAGTTCCTTCCCCACCCCCCCTGTCGGCCGTTTTTCTTGTTTTTTTTGCCTACACGATCGTGCGGGCGAATCCGGTGTTGTAGTGCAGCGCCTGCGAGAGAAAGCGGTGAAGCATCAGCGACTCCGCGGCGTCAAACGGCACCGTCCAGTCAAACGTTTCCTCCTCGCCGCCGCCGCCGCCCTGCGACGACTGCTGCTGCTGCGGAGGCCGCGTCGAGGTGCACTTGAGGGTGAACGTGTGCGGCTCCCCCGGGTTGGGGGCGAAGACGGCGTTGGTGAAGCGCGACTGCACCTCCACCTGCTCCATGCGGCCCTCCAGCACGCCGAGGAAGCGGGCTGTGTACACCGCCGGCAGCATCACCGACACGAAGCGTTCTGCCTTGTTGCCCTCCTCCCCCGTTTTCCTCACCTGGCGGTGGTAGTCGAGGACAACAAAGCTGTCGCGGTGCAGCACCCGCAAGAGGTGCCCACGGCTCATGTCCTCGTTGTCCCAGTGCACAACATCAAACGCGGGCGGCAGCTGCAAGCGGCGGGCGCGTTGCTGGGCCAGCGTTGGGCGGCGCCATGTCGGCGCGGAGCCGCTAGTGTTGGTGTTGCTCCCCGCAGTGGCCTCACTGCCACTTGAGGCCGCGGCCTGGAGGCGGGCGGGGGAGAGCGTGAGGTAGCCCGCCGCCACAAAGCGTTTGGCGAACACGGGGCGCGTGACGAGACGGCGAAGCATTTCGATGTTCTCTCCTTCTTGTCTCCTTAATGATATTGCCCCAATCAATCACTCACTTCTCGCGATCCCACCCGTTGAGCTTTTCTGTCCTTTTTTTTATTTTCGTTCTTCGTCCCTTTCTCCCCCGCACAGTTGCCGAGGAGTTGCTAAGGGTTGGGGGGCGACAGTCGCAGGCGCCAGGTTGAGGCACGGAGAGGGAGGCAGCAGAAGAGGCAAGGGAGTCACACCTGCGCACACGTGCAGCGAGGGGGCGGCGTCGCGTACAACACACCGCCGTTGGTGTGCGTGCGTGTCCACACATGTATGCGTACCGTATGCACGTCAGAAGGACAAGAAGCCCACAAAAAACAAACAAACAAAGAGATGTGGTGCACCTCAAAGGGAGAGTGCGGCACACATTCATGTGATAATTGGGCCTCGCTTCAGCGGGTCCAGTGTTTTTCTGAGCTGACTTTTTTTTTTTTGTCTTCTTCCCTCCTCCTTTTGCTTCTTCTTGCCTTGCCTCCGTCCTTCGCAGTTAGCCTTCTTTTTTCTTTTTTTTGTCTTGCCTTGTTTTCTTCCCTCCGATTCCTCATGTTGTTTTGTTTTTTCCCCCGTCGCCGCCGCCGGGGCCTCAGTGCTGCGCGAACCCGAGCGCGTCAATCATGCGCTCAAACACCAGCGAGAAGGCCGCGCCGCCGACGATGCCGCCGACGAGCCCCGGGGCCTTGTAGTACCGCCAGCCGTAGGCCCCGCCGAGAATCGCGCCGGACGCCGTCGGGTTCCACGCGTCCTTCCGCCCGCGCCGTTTCTCCAGCGCCACCTCGATGCCGCCGAAGAGAAACCCAAAGTAGGCGAAGCTGGCGCCGAGCCTGCTGGCGCTGCGGAGGCTGTGGCGGAAGAAGTCGGCGGTGCCCATCCGCTGCGTCGCCGTCTCCGCGGAGATCATGGCGCCGAAGAGGGAGAAGCCGAAGCCCATGACGTACCCGCCAATGACGTTCATGCCGGCGGTCGCCAGGGTGCTGTCCTTCGCCATCATGAGCGCCTTCTGCGCGGGGTCTACGGGGGGCGTGCGCGTCGAGAATCGTCGACATCTACGCGTACTGCTCTGAGTGTTGTGTGTGTGTGTGTGTGCCAACCGATACAGTCGTCGCAGGGAGACTCGTCGCACGCGCTCCCGCACCTCGTTTCCAACCCAGGCGCAGACGTCACCCCAGTCACGCACTCTCGCCCTTTACTTCGGCAGTACCTTTAAAAGATGCGTGTGCGTGTGCAGCGGCCGCCGCTTTCCCGCCTTTACTATTTTTTTTGTTTAGTTTTGCTTTTTATTTTACTGTTATTAAACTTTGCTTAAGTGGCGTGTGTGTGTGTGCGTGTGGCGGTGACGACAACGCCGCAAACCGCACGCAGTGGAGGGGCGTCTGCCTCGCTGTAGGGGTTTGGGTAGAAAATTCTTCTTCGCGTCCCTCGCGCGCGGCGACACCAAACCGGCTCCCTTCCGAGTGTATGTGTATGTGTGTATGTGTGTGTGTGTGGGCCGCAGCAACGAGGCGGCAACACTCCCCCCACCCCACGTAGATACACACACCCGCAGAGAAAAGGGAGAAGAGAGAGAGAGAGAGAAACACGGTACTCCCCAGAAACAAAGTGCCTCTCTTACATGAAATGTTGGTACTTATACCGCAGCAGTGACAGACACACACACACACATACACAGATATATATGCACGTGTCTTCCGCCCCCCTTCTCTACCCACGAGGCGGTGCACTTTCCCTCCTCCCACACGCCTCACTCGCCAACGCCGCACTTCACATGACCACCTCGGGCCGTGACTCCAGGACGGCGATGCGCTGCTGCGACTCCTCTCCCTCCGCCGCGACCCCAAAGACGCCGACGAACTGACTGTACCCCGACAATAGACGGAGGCGGAAGTAGCGGACGCCTTTGCCGGCACTCTGCACGTCAAAGTGCAGCTCCTCCACCTGCCGCGCGTCCTCGGCCGTGCGAGGCAGCGTGCGCTCCGCCACCTTCTCAAAGACGGTGGGGAGCGCCAAGGTGCACTTTTCCACCACAACGCGCTTCGCCTCGTGCAGCTCCAAGCGCAGGCGGGAGATGTCAGAGGAGGCGGAGGTGCCTACGCTGAGGATGATGTCCTGCGGAAACCCGCCGGTGGTGAGCATGAAGGTGTCAGGCCGCCCATCGACAAGGCACAACGGGGTCGTCTCATCGTCGTTATGAAACGAAACATAGATGGGGTCCAGTGCCACAGGAGACATCTCTCTCTCTCTCTCTCTCTATCTATCTATACACAAACGGTGTACTGTGTGTTGTGGTCCCTATTTGTGTGCGTGTGCGAGTGCGTGTGGGGGCGTCTCGCAGCTGATGCTGCGGGGGGTTGCAACCATTGGCAAGGCGAGTGGAGCAGGAGCGGCTACAAAGAGAAAGACGTTGCGGGAGCCCGCGGACTGCAATGCGCCGCGGCACGCAGGTAAAGCAGCGAAGGTGCGTGCGTAGGGCTTCACGCCTCATGTGCTTTTGTTTCTTTTAACGCGCCGTCAACGTCTCCCGCCCTCACTCGCCTTTTTGCTGACGTCGTTCAAGTTACACGGTGGGGTTAAGCGGCGGCGCAGCGTGGACGCGTGCAGAGAGACGGATAGACACACACACACACACACACACACACACAGAGAGAGAGAGAGGCAGAGAAGCAGCCGCGTACCCCTTCGCCCGCTTCTGCTCTTCTCTCACCTCCATCGTTGCTTTTTTATTACTTTTCCCACTTTTCTTCTTTTTCGTCTGGGTGTTGTCTTTCGGAGTCACACACAACTGCCGCCACGCAACTCGCAACTCCGTCGTGTCGCACCCGCGGCAGCAGTCAGTTGCCGCGCCTGCCTTTTTTACCGCGCTGCCGCGGGCCAAGTTCGAACTCTCGCGTGTAGCGCAGAATCCCCTGCGACGGGCGATTGGGGTTCTCATCTCCCCCGCGCATGTCCCACATGCTGCGTGACCCCCTCCTGCGCTCCTTCACCTGCTGCGTGCGCTCGTCGTGCCGCACATCCCGCTGCACCCTACGTATTGTCTTGTTAAACACACGCAGTGTGCCACTATTCATGTCGTAGCGGCCCGACTGCTTCAGCGGCGTCGGATCGCCCATGCGTCGCAGGAGGTGCTCACGCTTCAGCTGACGGCGCTGGAAGAGGGCGACACGCTTGTCCTTCGCCGCGTGAAGTGCGCTGCCTTTGGAGTAGTCAACGGCCTCGCCGCGGGTCTCACGCTCCCACTGCGACCGCTCCCGCAAGTCCTGCTTCTCCTGCGAGACCTGCCGCAGGCGTTCCGCAAAACCCACGCCGGACTTGTTGCTCCGCAGGTGGTCGTACGCGCGGGAGGAGGCGGATGCGGCGCTCGCCGGTCTTTTTCCGCCAATGCGCTCAAACTGCCGCCACGACTCCTCAATGCGCTCCTCCATCGTGGCGTTTTCGGCGTGCAGGGCGGCGGTGCGGGCGTAGACGTCCTGCAGCTCCTCGTTAATTTTCTGGTGGTGGACGAGGAGGTCGCGGTGGTCCCGCCGCGCGGCCCCCCGGTTCTGCTTGTACGCCACGACAAACTTCTCGTTCTCGTGAAAGTGAATGCCGCGGTGCAGCGAGCGGGGGCCTGGAATCACGTTGCGCCGCTTCACCAGGTCGCGCGTCGCACGGCTGTTCAGGGGCGGCATGGGCGACGCCACGGCCAAGACGGTCAACGCAGGCAAAGGGCTTCTTCTCGCCCCGGGCTGGCTCTATGCGCACTTGACTTTCCCTACGCCGCACCCCTCATTCAGGCGGACACCGCCCACGGCAACACCCCGCAGTGGGCGGCAAAGAGAGAAAGAACGAAAGAAAGAAAGAGAGGGAGGGAGATAGCAGGACACAACGGAGGCGAGGCGTCAACTCAGTAACGGCGCCCAAAGGAGACAATAATAACTTCAAGAGAGAAAGAGATAACACACACACACACACCCGCGGAAATGAAATGGGGGCACACGGGCAAAGAGGAAGTGGACATAGCTGGTGGGTGGTGCTGGTGCTGGTGCTGGTGCTGGTGCGGCGGGGGGGGGGGACAGACGCAAGCGGGTGTCACAGCTCCGCAAGACGGATGTTCACATTCGCACCAATAGCGCCGCCAGCGCCAAAACTGGACGACACCGGCGCGTGGGGGTTGTCGTCAGCCACCCCGCTGACACCCAACCACGTCGTTGCAAGGTGTATGACGCCGCCCACAAGCAAAAATATCAGCGCCAACACCAGCATCACCTGACACGTCACCCACCAAGTGGATTGCTTCTTTCCATGCAATTCGCACCACCCAACGTGGCCTTCCACGTGGCGGAAGGTGTGGGGGTCCTCACACACGGCCATTAGGGTGGCGGCCGCCCCGGTGGGGGAGAAGCCGTCCAGGGTGGTCAGCACCTCCGTGTAGAGGCTCCTCTCCTCCTGGCGGGCGCTGGTCGGGTAGTTCATCCAGGCGGCGTCCGCCTCCTCCTTCGATCTGCCCGGCTTGTTGTCCGCCGTTATTTCCCCACACCGCACATGGTGGAGAAAGCGAACGTTCTCAATCAGGTTCGCTGCGGCTTGCAGGATGGGTAGCCGCAGTAGCGCCTTGGTTGCCTCTTCTGCCTCCGCCTCCGCGACATCGCCGTCTTCCTCCTGCCTGCCGCCGCTTTTGGGTTCCGCCTCCGCCTTGTAAACGCCCTTTGCGACGGTACCGCCAGCCTCGACCACATCACGAACTAGACTTGCCCAACTTGGGTCATTGCGAAAGCGCAGCTTCACGCAGAGATAGCTGCAGACACTGTGGTACACATCGTCGCAAATGAGGCGCTGCACGACCGTCATTGCCTCATGCGCGCCGCCAGCGCCCCCGGCTTGGCTTAGCTTGAGCGCCCGCCGGACCTCCTGCACCGCCGTCGCCTTTTGTGCAAAGGTGAGGTAGGGGTCTTTGATGCGACCCTCCGCCGGCTCCGTCTTGTGCAGGAGGTAGCGTTGATAGTAGCCCCACCAGAGGTCCAAGACGGTGACGACACCACCGTCCGCGGTGGGCGGTTTTTCAGGCCGGAGGAGCGACCACACCGCCTCGGGAATGCCGTTCCTCGCCTCCTTGACGTCACCGGCCCCCGCAGCGGCAGCATTCGCCCCGGCAGGGAAGTGGGGCCCGTCCCGTACGAGTCGCCGTTTTGCAGTTGACCCCACGGCGGCGTCGGGCGCCTTGTGCCACGTCATGACAACGTGGTTCGCCACCGGGCCCTGCGACGGCGGTGGGGCCTGCGCCCCCGCGTGCCGCAGCAGGTGGCGGCTCAGCTCCCCGCGCAGAAGCAGGAACGGGTTGACGCACGGGGCGCACTGCGCGAACTCCATCACGATGAGGCAGGTCGCGTCGTCCGCGTGGACGCTGCCGGCGTCACGCCCGGCCGGCGGTGGCAGAAGGGTGAGGTGCACCGCGAGGTAGCAGCCCAGCGCGACGTCACCGCGGGTAAATGTCACGCTGCCGATGCCGCGGTCCGCATCAAACACAAAGTGTTGCACCTCGCCGTAGTGGCTGAAGAAACTCTTCACGTACGCCGCGGGGAATGCGGCCCACCGCGTCTGCTGCGGGAAGCCGGCAAACAATATCTCGCGGTACACATCCAGCGCCGCCGGGGGGGCAACACTCATTTCCCCCGCCAGCAACAGTAGCAGTGCGGGTGGGTGTGGTCCGCGACGGTGCCGTGGCTGCTGTTGCCGCGGGATGCCGGCACCACCCAACCCACGAGCGCCGCGGTGCAAGAAGAGGCACACGACGGTGAAAGGAGAGAAGAAAGACAAACAGGCCCCGTCCGAACATCCAAATTCAGGCACTCGACAAGAAAAAAAAAAGTACACGCCCACGCCCACACACATGCACACAAACACCCACATAGACACACAATAGGGGGGCATGGCAAATGCGTTGCCCACTGGCCCTCGCCTGCACTGCAGCCCGCTGTAGAAGAAGGAAAACAAAAAAAATGATGAGGGATGAATTGGCCCTGACAGCAGGAGGGTTAGTAGGCGCCGGGGTTCGCCTTCGCGGCGTACTGCATCTCCTCCTCCAAGTGCACCATCTCCTCCGGCGTCCACTCATTCTCCAGCTGAAGATATTGACGCAGGCGTTCGGCCCCCTCCATAATAGACGGTGCCGCCCTTGAGATATCATGAATCCGCTCCGCCACGAAGGCGGCAAGCAGATTATGCAGCTCCCCAATGCGCAGGTAACTAGAACACTCCAACACCTGAATCAGGAGTTTATGCCTCTCAATTTCCCGCGCTAAAGTCATTTCCCAGGCATCCACAAAGTTCCCAAGCGAGGCAGTGAGCGGCTTTGGGATCTCCACGCTTCGCTTCTCGGGCTTCTGCAAGTACTCAACCACAAACTTCACCACGCGTTCGGTGTAGTCAAGTTCCACGGGCGGCATCTCCGCACTGCCACCCTCATCGAGCTCGGCCAACGCCTTGAGAAGGCCGATCTGTTCCCAAGCAATGGCGGCCGGTATCGTGAAGGACACCCCTTCCTGAGAACGCAGCACCACATCACAGGCAGGCATGCTGTTTGGCATATGCATGTGCATCTTCCCACGGACACACACCTTTGTATTCGATCTCCACTGCTCCTCAGCAACTTATAATCCCCTTTGCTTTTTGTCCCAACGCTCGGAAGTGGCTCGCGGGTCCACTTGCTTACTTTCCGTTTGCCGCTTTTCGCAAGCACGTGTGTGTGTGTGTGTGCGCATTCAAAGGAAATGGGAAAGAGAGAAGTCGCCCATGGTGAAACATCAAACATGAATGAATCAAGCAAGGCAAGTGAGGGCACAGCCAACGCCGACGCCAAAAAAGAAAAAGAAAAAAGAAGCGGTCGTGGTGTGTGTGTGTGTGTCTCCCTCTATGGGACAGGGAGGACCGGAATGCGTGTGCTTAGCTATTGGAACGGTGTCCTTTTTTTTTTTTGGTGGCCCGTTGAACGCCGTCTCGCGCAGTGTGCCCCGCCGCAGGAGGGGAGGGGGAGGGGGTGCCACACAGAGAGAGGGAGGTGTTCCCGCCTCATCGGCACAAAAAAAGGTACACGCTCACGCTCACGCTCACGCTCATATACATCTCTTGACAAGCACATAAGAAGGAGGCCTACGCACCCATGCCGACACACGACGAGGGGGAGCAGAAGGGAACTCCGTCCCCCCTCAGTGAGCCGTTTTCCCCCTCCAAAAAACAAAGAGGAATAGCAATAATGCAAAATCTTTTTCGTCTACTCACGGTTTGCCTCGTTCATCATCAAGGTGCTCCCACACACAGAGAAGACACCCGCACAGACGCGGATAGAAAGAAAGTGGGGTGGGGGTGAAAAGGGGGAGGCGACCGCGCCCCTTTTTGTTGCGGCTTAACCCTGCCTTCCTTCCTCCTTTCATTCCTTCTCTTTTTTCTAAAAAAAAATTGTTTTCAATCACCCGCCACAGCCTTCTCTCCTGCTCCTCTTTTTTCTTGCTGGTGCCATTCTTTTGTGGGATTCTCCGATTTATTCTGGTTGTTGTTGTTGTTGCTTTTTTTTGGCCGTTTCTCCCTCTTCTTCTTTTGGGCCTTTTACTCCGGTTGTTGTTGTCGTTGGCTGGTTCCGGAGTCGTTTTGCTCGGGTGCTGCGGCTACTCCTCCTCGTTGCTGGGCCACTCGTTCTCCAGACTCAGGCACTCCATCTCCTTCCGTGTCCAGTCACTCCGCACGCTGAAGCACTGACGCAGCAGCGCGGCGGCTTCGAAGCAGTTCATCGACGCGTAGCTTGCGCGTATGATGTAATCCGCGCACCACGCCAGGCAGAGGTTCTCCAGCGATGGTATCTCCAGCATCCCCGCGGCGCGGGTGACGTCGGCGAGCAGGCCGACCCGGTCGGGGGCAGGCGCCTTCACCAGCAGCGCGGCGCAGACATCTGGTTTTCGTAAAAAGGGCGCCGCAGACGTGTAGCTCATGGTGGGGGCGAGACGAAGGATTTTCAGCGCCAGGGCCGTCTCTTCCTCAGTCTGGCCTAGAATATCACCGTAGAGAAAGCCACGTTCCCACAAAGTCAAGAAGCGAACTAGTGGAGCACTAAGCGGCTCGGGGACTATCGTTGGATGCGGTCTCTGCATCGACCCTGCGTCACTAGTAAAGTAACGCAGGTACGACATACAGAGGCGCCATGCCTCCCGGGGAATGGTCGGGCGCCCAGCGTTACTGTCCTCACTCGCCCCAACCCTGCCCTCCGCGGCGGGTGCCGGTGTCGCGGTTACCGATTCCAGTTGGTTCTGCGCGCTAGTTGGCAGCACTGTCGCCGCAAGCGCGGGTGTTGCGCACATGAATTGGTCTCTCAGCAGAAAATTATGCGAGAACGACTGCGACGCCAGCCCACGACTCTGCACTTCCTGCTCGGTGGCCGGGGTTGTGGTGATGGCAGGCAGCAGATGCTTGTGCGCCTCAATGACGATCTCCTCCGCAGAGATGACGAAGCACTGGTGCAGCTGGCCTGCCACCAAACCCTCCGTCAAGGGAACCACGCCACTCCAGGCAGCCACATTTTGGTTGGAGGACCCCAAACTGCTGCTGTGGGCTGTTGACCGTGCACGTGGGTTGCTGGTGGTCGTTTCTGTTAATCTATGACTAGCCACCGGACTCCTCGGCGACGCCTCCACGATGCGGGGCGTCCCCGCACTATTGTTATTGTGCCTGTGGCTACTATTATTCCCTGGGGACGCAAGCGCTTTGCTTCTATTAAGCATCACCACCTCCTCACCAAAGGAGAAGTTGCCCTCCATGAGAAGCAGGCCCTCGTCGTCGTCGCCAACCATGCACGGGGTCCGTTGGTGGAAGCACGAGGGAGAGACCATCTCCTCGTTTGTGAGGCTGCGTGGTGAGAGAGAAGCGGGGACGCCAGAACTGTGATACCCCTCCCCCCCTTCCTCCCCAACCGCGGAGGGGGGCGCCACACGGACTGTCGTGGCCCCACCTCGGCTGACCACCACCATCGTCGCGGCCGGCGGTGAGTCTGATTCGGGGTGGACAAACTTCCCGTTGTTGTTGTTGCCGTCGCTTCCGCGGGAGCTGCTCGACGATGTCGGCGTTGCCTTCGGTGCGGGGGCCGCCAAGGTGCCCGGCGACAGTGGGTGGGCGTACGCGCAGGGCACGTTGGTCTCCGGCACCGGCGGGGCATCGAGGCTAACGGAGCGCTGCTGCACGCCGCCTACTGTGCCTGGTGACGGCGCCATTTCCTCCTCCGCCTCGTCCCCGAGTGTGCTCGGCGTCTCACTATCCTCCTTGCAGGCATCCCCGCGAGAGGCACACGGCTGCAGCAGCTCCCCCAGTCTCCCACCATTATCGTTAACGTCCAGGCTGCCACCGGCGTTGCTGCCGTCGTGACTATTACACTTCGACCTGCCACCGCGCCGCGGGGTTTTGCGCTGCCCCCGCATCGGCGACGGCGCCGGCGACGGCGACGGCGACTCCAGCGAGCGACACACCGACGGCGTGCGGCTGCTGCTACGCTCATCGTCGTTTCCGCCCTCCTCCTCCCTCTCGTCGTCGTCGTCGTCGTCGTCGTAATAGGCGTCTAAGAAGCCCGCCAGGGGGTCCAGCTCGTCGAAGGGCCCTAAGTTCGGCCCCCGCAGCCTCTCGCCCTCGTACTCGCGGCTGTCTTTGTATACCGTCGTGTCATTGTCGCGACTCCTCCGCGCGCTGTGGGTGTCGGTCGACTGATCCTCCTCTTCCTCCTCGTCGTCGTCGTCGTCGTCGTCGAGAATGCGGTCGGGGGTGCGCTCGGAGTCGATTCCGCTGCTCGTGCAAATATTATCGCCATCCTCCTCTGTTTGTGTGGTGGGCGGACAGTGGCTTTCCGCCCAGATGTCTAGTGCGCGGCGCACAACCATGGAGAGCTCCTCGGCCCCCTCCGGCACCGCGATCCTCGTCCCATCGCCAGTCTGCAGGTATATGGCCGGCATGGTGCCCCACTACACCCTGGCCCGGAGGGATGCGAGGCAAGAGGGAAGTACACACGCAAGACGCAACTCACGCCCCCTGTCTCCCTGTCCCCCTGCTCACTCCCTCACACTCGTTCTCCTTTTCTCTGGTGCCTCGGCTTCGCTCTCACCTCCCCCACCCCCAACCGCCGCGAGGAAATAAAAGTCCTCGTGCGCCTCCTCCCTTTTCCGCCCTGCTGCTGCTGCTGCTGCCACACGACAAAACAACCGTGGGCCAACCCACGTCGCTTCCCCCTTCGCAGTAAGCAAGCTGGAAGGCAGCCGGCCTTCTCTTCGCTAATTTGATGTGGGTTGCTCGTGGCTTCCTCCGTTGGGCCGCACACCGCCTTCCCCTTCCCCTTTGCCCCCCTCCCCTCCCCCTCTTCCCTGTTAGTTGTTGCCCCCCAAAAAAAACAAGCAAAAGAACAGAAAAAAAACGTTCTTCCCCCCTCGTTTCCTTTGCGTGTACTACTTTTATCCTGCCGTCGCCCCTCGTGTGTGCTGCTGCTTCGTCTTCGTGCCTGCCCGCCAGTCGTCCCGGCGCAGAAGGCACTCTCGACCGCTGCACGACTCTGCTTGCAGAGGGAAAAGGGAGGAAGAAGAAGCAGGGAGGAAAGAACGGCCAGTGAAACACGCACACGCATGATGGGCATGGGCAACTCGTCTAGCGGGAGATGCGCCCATTTCCCCCCATTCACCCGGACGCACGCCCACCCTTTTCTCACCTTCTCACGACACGTTTCCCTCCCCTCGTTTTACTCCCAATTCACTTCGACTCCAACATGCTGCGGTGCCGCTTCGACTCGCCAACGCTGAACCAAAGCAGCTCGCCGCGGCGGAAGTGGGCCTCGCCGCCGCGGGCGGGAGTGACGTGCCGCGCCACCACCGCGTCACCCGTGCCGTCCTGCCTCACGTTGAAGACGTTCAGCAGGAGGGAGGCGAGCGGGACCCGGAAGGCGGTGGTGTTCCGTCTGACGAAGGCGTTCATCCGGCGGCGCCGCGACCCCCGTCCCTCGTCGTTGCCGTCACTCATATGACTGCTCGTGTTATCCTCCTCATCCTCGGCGGTGTCGTCGCCGTCGGCACTGCCGTTCCAGCCGTAGTCGTCGTCTTCTTCCTCCTCTTCCTCCTCCTCCTCGTCGTCCCTGTCAGCGCCTCGTCCTCTCTTGCGGGCCGGTCGGGCGGCAAGTCTCCTCCGGTCACCGCCTGCCCAGGCCGCGGTGGCCATTGGGTACGCGCAGGCCAAACCAGCGAGCGTGCCGACGACCACGTCGGCAGCCGCCCCGCCACCGTCGCCTCGCTGCACGCCCGGCTCCGCCGGCTTCATCGTCGTGGCGCCTCCGTCTGCCTCAGGCGCGGGGCTTTTGGTGGCGGGGCGATAGGCAGCGAGGTCGTCCACGATGACTTGGAGCGGCACACGCGTGGAGGCGAAGGACGCATCGTCCGCGGCAACGGCGCACCACTCACTGAAGAGCGCCGCCGCCACCAATTCGACAGGCGGCTGCTGGTGGCCCCGACTAGACGGATGCTGCGGAAAGAGGGAGTTCACAGCTTGAATAAACGCCAACTGCTCCACGCCGCGCCCGTCCGCGCCGCCGTGCTGCGACAGGGAGCGCAAAAGGTTCTGCACGAATGCGCCGCGCCCTCCGCCGGCCCCGGCGCCGCACTCGTAGCGCTGCTGCAAGTGGTGCAGGAGGCGATGGCGGGTCAAGTCTAGAGGGGGCGGGACCCGCTGCCGCGCCCACGGTGATGAAATGAGTGCGAGGTGCGGAAACGCAAACCAGCTCTCCGCCATGTCGCCGTCAAGATACGAGGAAGAGGACGTCGCAGCAGCTGCACCACCACGAGGGTTGCTGCGGCCAACACCCCCACCGGTTTCACGCCGCTCCGTCGCCTGTGCGTGAAGCAGGCGCACCCACTCCGGCAGCAGCCTCCCGATGGTGTTGCGTTGCTTGAGCTGCAGCAGGGGAGCCACTTCCTCCCCCTCGCCCTGCGCTAGCGACGCCGGCCGCGGCTCACGGACATCCAAAAGGGAAAAGAAATGCTGCAGAAAGCGACGCGTCGACTCCTCCTCATCCTCGACGGTCATTCCCTGACGAATGGAAGGAGGGGAAGAAGGAGCAACACCGACGCACATATACACACATAGACAAATATACATAAACATATATACATATATATAAGCACACATGTGTAGATTGGGCGCAGGGAAACGCAGAAACCACACAAAGAGGAGCAGCGCGTGCGCGCGAGAGAGAGAGAGAGAGAGTGCCTCCGCTAACTCGAGTTCCCCCACCCCCACCTCGGGAAGACGCCTGCCACCCGGAAAGCCACGTCGCCTTCCACCACGCGGGTTCTTGGCGACCGCAGGACAAAGATGGCTTCCGACGTCAGTCCAAGCGGATCATCCACCTCCCCGGCCTCCGCATCGCCCGCGAGCGGGAACGCCGCCGTGGCAAACACAAGACGCGTGTCGACCCCATTGGAAGTCGTCCCCAGGCGCCAGACAGAGGCCTCGCTCGGGGTCAGAGGGAGGTCGTGAAACCACGACGTGCGACGACCTCGAAGGGCAACGTACAGCCACCGCTGCAGGCACCGTCGATTGTTGAGGAGCTGCTCGACGACGTCACTGGTCGGCGTGGACGCCGGCTCAAGCCACTGCAGCGGGTCACCCAAGACACGGTCGTCGTCCAGCTCGTACACCGGCGGTGGCACCACGGCGCAGCGCAGGATGGACTTTTTCACCTCGTCGCGAGCGCCCTGCAGCACGCATGGGACCTCCACCACCGCGCCGTCCTGCGGGCGCACGACTCGAGTAACGTCGAAGCGGCAGAAGTTTTGGCGCAGCGCAAATACGACCAGGTCGCCGCGCTCCACGGGTGCGATGAGGGGCATGGCGCTCTCCACCAACCCATACAGCCCCCCGACACGCTCAAGGCTTCGCTGGACGTCCACGCCGCGCGGAAGTCGCACCCACAGCGGATGCATCATCGCCGTCGTCCTCGACGCGGGCGAGGCAGTGGGGTCGGTGAGATTCACCAGCGCGTAGACCGGCCGCTGTTGCTCGTCGGTGGCAATCGTCGCCGGCGACCCGCCACCGCCGCTGACGCCTCCGCTCTGAGAGGAAGTCAGGAACCAAAACGTGTTGTCCGACGTCATGGGCGCCGTTGTGGCGTTCGCCGGGGGTGACGTCGCTTCCGCGGGAAGTGGCACGGAGCGCAGAAGGGACTGTATCTCGCGCTCGCGCTCCGTGCGCGTCGAGAGCAGCTGCTCGCACATCCGCCGCGCCGTTTGGTAGTAACGCCTCTGCTCCAGTGCGGCTTCTCCCATCGGAAGCCTCACGGCAGGGACATCCGTGACTTTGCGTGCAAGCACGTCCCGCAGCGTGGTGCGGGCAAGAGGGTTGTATGGGTCAAACTCAAGTGCGGCTAGGGCGGTGCGCATGACGCCGTCGTGTGATCGCCTGTACGCCGCCTCACCCGCCTTATCGGCGGCCACTTTCCGCACCTTTTCACTCCAAAGTCGCCACGCGGCGCTCGCGAGGGCGTCGGCAGCCGCAGTGGCGCACAGGGAGTCACGGACGCGTTCGTGCAGGGTGCCCACCACCCCGTCCAGCACGTTGCCGGGGTCAAGCAGCAGCGCGAGCACCTCCTCGTCCGCCGGCGCTCCGACCTCCCAGTGGTGCCGCGAGGCCCCGCAGAGAAGCAGCTGGCGGAGCACGGCCACACTACCCCCTTGCACCGCGCCCGGCAAAATGTCATCGTCGACCTGCAGCGCAGTGCAGCGGATGGCCCTCGCAGTTGTTTTCGGCGCCGCCGCCGCCTTCGTCGTCGTCGTGTCCGTCGGCGCCTCCCACGTCTGCGCCTGCGCAAAGTCGACACACACGCGTTTTTCCTCACACGCCACGTGGCGTGCAACGCTCGGCGGCAACCGGGCGTCGCGGTAGACTTCCACCCACGCCGTAAGCAGCAGCCGCACACAGCACTCGTAGCCCTTCGCGGACACCCAATGCAGCAACGTTGCCCCGCCCGTCGCGTAGTGTGGCGCCGTCGTGGTGAGGGCTACGAAAGCAGCGGCGCTACCTGCCGCATGCGACAGTTCACGCAGCGCCAGGAGTGAGTCGTGCAGCCCAGCATCACCGCGCCCCCGCAGCGTCAGGGAGGAGGTTTGGGACGCAGTTTCCGCGTCGTCTTCGTTCCCACGGCGGGCCTCTTCAAGGGTCCGACGTATACCGCCCTTCCACTGCCGTTTGCCCGCCGGTGTTGCTTGCGCGGCCGCGTCGCGTACCTCCACCTCGAACGCCACCTCGTCCTGAATGAGGAGGCAGCACTGAATCAGCACGAGGGCGGAGTGGCTGACGACGTCGCCGCCCACCTGCACGGCTGCGGGGCCGCTCTTCTGGCGCGCCAACGCAAAGAGCGTGGGGTGCGTCCCGCCATACACCCACTGCTCTACGGAGAGACGCAGCGTTTGCACGGCGCCATTCCAAACGGCGTTGCGGCAGACAGCCATGGCGTGCGTCCACAGCAGCCGTCGGGTGTCGACGTCGAGGGCGAGAGTCATCTCATCGCTCGCGTTTGTTGAGGCCGCCTGCTTCAAGCTGGACGTCCTCCCTCTCTCATAGCCGGAGGACGCCTCCTCAGCAACGCGGTAGACGGCGTGGAGCTCGAGGAGGCACCACATGACGTCGGTGCCGGGGACATGCTCTATGCTTGCCGCGTAGCAAAGCGGGCACCGCCCCACGCGAGAGGCCTCCACATGACCGTCCCCAAGGTGCAGCAGCGCTTGAATGTTCCAGACGACTTCTGCGAGCCGCTCGATGGCTGCCACGAGGGACGGCTGGCGCCAAAGCTCGTGAATGGGCGGGAGTGGCACGGAGTGCCGAAGCCCTCTCTGGGACGCTGCCGCACCGTGCGGTCGCGGCGGGGCCCCCACTGTGAGGTCGCCGCCGCTGTCATCCGTTGCGGGAGCGCCGTGGGCCCCACCGCAGCGCCTGCTGGTGACTGCAGTGGCGAAGTACCCGACGAAGTCGAAGAAGAGGCACGCAACCTTCACTTTTTGCTCTGCGTCTGCGACGGGGCGGTCGCGCGCCGCGTCCCCGCGGCACCCCATCAGCGAATCATCCAGCAGGCGGCAGATGACGTCGCTCGCCCGGCCCGGGTTCTCCCACGGCTCCTGCAGAAGAAGGCGTTTAACGGAGGCCAAACACCCGCCGTCGCTCACGGCCATCCTCGCACCGCTGTCCCCTTCTAGCTAAGTAAGGCACACGGACGTGGATAGGACTTCCTTCCCCGCTCTTTTGCCTGCCCCCGCCCCACCGCTTGCTAACCTTTCTCCGGCGGGGTCTATTCTATTTCCCTGCCGCCACGCCACACCCCCTCTTTCGCCGCCCCTTTTCTTCAATCGTCCTCGGCCGCCCCACGTTCGACGGATGCCGGATGCGCGCGCGTGCGGCCCCGCCTCGCTTCTTCTTCCCTCCCCCCT